TTGATCTTATTTTTCTTAAATAAGTCCCTTTAACATTTCATGTAATAATGGCTTGGTAATGATGAACTCCTTCAGTTTTACCTTGTCTGGGAAGCACTTAATCTGCTCTTTCATTCTAAATGATAGCTTTGCTGGATAGAGTAATCTACGTTGTAGGTCCTTGCTTTTCATTATTTGGAATACTTATCACCAGTCCGTTCTTGCCAGCAGTTTCTTTTGAGAAATCAGCTGAAAGTCTTATGGGGACTCCTCTGTAGGTAACTAACTACTTATCTCCTGCTGCTTCTAAGATTCTCTGTTTATCTCTGACCTTTGGCATTTTAATTATGATGTGTCTTGGTGTGGTCCTCTTTGGGTCCTACTTGTTTGGGACTCTCTGTGCTTCCTGGACTTGTATGTCTATTTCCTTTGTCAAATTAGGGAAGTTTTCTTTTATTATTTTTTCAAATACGTTTTCAATTTCTTCTCCTTCTGACAGCCCTATGTTTTGGATGTTGGCACATTTGGAGATGTCCCAGAGATTTCTTATACCACCCTTATTTTTTTAAATTCTTCTTTCTTCTTTCTGTTCTGGTTTAATGCTTATTTCTTCCTTATGTTCCAAATCATTGATTTAAATCCTGGCTTCCTTCCATTCACTGTTGGTTCCCTATGGATTTTTCTTTATTTCACTTAGTGTAAACTTCATTTCTTCTTTTATGTTATTCTTGTACCAATGAGTTCTCTGAGCATCCTGATCACCAGTGTTTTGAACTTTGCATCTGATAGGTTCGCTATCTCCATTTCATTTAGTTCTTTTTCTCGGGTTTTGTTCTATTCTTTCATTTGGGCCATATTTCTTTGTCTCCTCGATTTGGCAGGTTCCCTGTGTTTGTTTCTGTGTATTGCGTAGGGCTTCTTTGACTCCCTGTCTTAGTGCACCTGTTGAGTTGTATGGTGTGGAGGCATTTGCCAAAGTGAGACAACCTGATTCACTTTGTGGCTCTGTGTGTGGGGGAGGCTCAGAAAGGGTACAATGCTACTGCCTGATTTTTGGAGGTTTGTCCAGCACTCATGCCATTTCCAGTCCCTTAACCCACTTCCTGTATACCACTGGACCCTTCCAGCTGTGGCCCTGGTGGTGAATCCCAGAGTGTGTGGGTTTTCATACATTTTAAGTTCCTGTGGGCCCTTTAAACAGATTCTCCTAAAAAAACCCCAGCAGTTTCTTCTGCTACCCCAACCCCCACTGGTTTTTTACAGCCAGAAGTTCTGGGACTTTATCTTCCTGGTGCTGGAATCCTGATCTGTGTGGTCTGATCTGGGGCTGGGGTTGCTCACTCCCAAGGTCTCCCTTGCCCTTAAGGCATCCGTCCCAATTTTTATCCATGAAACATCAATGTGGGACAGCTCACTCCACCGTTGCCACTGCCTCTTGCACCATACCACATCTCCTTGCCTCTCTGCCCCATCTCCACATCTCTGCCCCATGTACTTGTCTGGGTAAATGTGGCTTCTTTAAATTCTTGTTTGTCAGACTTCCATACAGCTTACTTTCCTGACAGTTCTGGGTATTAATTTGTTTTGAGACCTAGTTGTAATTTTTTCTGTGGTTGAGTGAGGAGGTGAAGTGTGTCTACCTATGCCTCCATCTTGACTGGAAGTCTTCATCTATTATTTTTCTTTAGCCTGAATAATGTCTTTATCATTTCCTATTGTGCATATCTGTTCATGGATTCACTTAATATTTTTTTAACCAGAAATGTCTTTAATTTGCTTTCATTCTTGAAGGATATTTTCATTGGATATAAAGTTCTAGACTGTCAGTTTTGAATTTTCTCTAGCACTTTAAAGATATTGTTGGAGTATCTTATTGCCTCTGGAAATTTTGATGAAAAGTCACTGATCATTTGAATCACTGTTACCCTAAATGTAATATGTTGTTTTTCTCTGCTACTTTTGAGAATTTCTCTTTATTTTTGGTTTACGGCTATTTGACTGATAACCTAGATGTGTTTTTCTATATACTTATTTTGTTTAAGATTTGCTGAGCTTCTCAAATGTATAAATTTATGTGTTTTACCAAACTTGGAAAGTTTCTGGACATTATATCTTTTTCTACTCCACCCTGTTCACAAGTTCCTGACTCTTTTTGTCTCCCTATTTTTTAAATAATGTTTGTCAGTTTTTTAGATTGGATGATATTTATTGATGTATCTTCATGTTTTTCTGTTATGCCACCTATTAATTAATTTTTTAAAACTTTCATATTTAAAACTGTCTTCATTCTAGCATTTCCATTTAATTCTTTTTTATAGTTTTGATATGTTTCTGAGATTTTGTATTTTTAAAATTTTTTATAAACACATTTTCTTCTACTCCATTAAGCTAAGTTACAACAGCTGATTAAAAATCCTTGTTTGCTAACCTGGTATTTGGATCATCTCTGAATCAGTGTCCATCGTTGATTGGTCTTTCCTTGAGGCTGGAGTACATTTTCCTGTTTCTTTATTGAGTAATTCTCTTTTGGTTGTTGTTGTAACAGTGAAATTGTATATTTATGGTAACATTCTTTTAGGGATTGTCTTTTCAGTTTATTCATCAACTTAGAATTGGTAACCAAAAGGTGTTTATTCCTACTGAGTACCTCAGGAATTCTTAACTGTATCCTGGACATTGTGAATGCCTGGATTCTTTTATATTTCTCTGAAGAGTACATATATTTTTGTTTTACCAGGCAATTAGTTTGCTTAGACTCAATCTGTAAACTCTATCTCTTGGGCAGTCACTCAAATTTCAGTTCTGTCCTATTTACTTTGGTTGGGCTGTGTGCTCTTAGCCCCACACATGGACAGCTCCGGAGTCAGCTGGACACTTAGGCAGAATTACCCGGAGAATCTGGGCTTCTTTTCTCTACATCTCTTTCCCAAGAGTTCCCTTTCACCCTTTCACTTTCAGCAGCTGTGTTTGCCCCAAACTCTGTTCTTTGGTCCATGAGGCCAAAAAGACCATAGGTTTTTATTGGCATTTTAGCTCTTTCGTGGTTCTCACTTGAACTGGCCCAAAGGCTAAGAGCTGTGAACAGGTGACTCCTGTATGCCACTGCCTTTGTCCTAGCTGCAGGGCCCCTTCTGAATCTTCTTGCTTTTGTTTCCTTCTATTGTTTTGGGGTAGGTTAAAATTTTTTTTCCAGAGTTTATAGTTTTTACCTGGGGGAGGGTCAGGTCTGTAAGAGCTTACCAGTCATATCAGAAGCAGAAGGGCATTGTGATTCTTTTGCACTTCTTATTTATCTAGTTGTTCTCTGTCTTTAATATTAAAGGTTTTGTGAAAATGTCTGTTCCTTCATTGTTTGCTCTTAACATACTCAGGAGGCAAGCCCTTCTTCTCGAAGGATGAACTTCATTGTAGGGTGGTCAGGCAGGAGGCCATTTCCTTGGGTGATTGCAAAATATCATCTTTTCCCTCCTGATGATATCCAGTTTTTCTAGGGAGCCTAGAAAATTTCCAGTTTTCCAACCTTCCAATTTCTTACTGTGGAAAATCTGCTTGGATGCCTACAGTCAAGTTGAAGAAAGGTCTCCCAGTTCGGTGTTTGGACTTTTAATTAATTAATTTAATTTTTAGCCCAGTAGCTCCACAGTCTCCTTGGAGCAATTTCTCTAGAAAGTAAGCTTTCTCAGCTTCTGTTGGGGTCATGGAGGTAGTTGCCCAGCTGTACAGGCTGGGGAAGCTGATCTAAGGGTCCAGCTGTTCCTTCGTCCGACTTTCAATCAGTCCTTTTATTTTCAGCCCCATCTTACACTTGAATTCAGACACTCCTGTTAATTCTAATGTCTTGGGCTTTTCTGGGGCTGAACTCCAATTGGATAACTTCCTGTTGGCTCCTACGTCCCCTCCTCCGACCCCAGGAAGTCTTGTTTTTGCTTTTTCCATCCTGCTGATTCGGTCCCCATCCACACTACTTCTGTCTGCACCAGCGTCATTGAAATGTGGTCTGGTGTGGCCTCTGCTCACACACTCTGTGTCCTTCTGTGTTTATGCTTCTATATTCCTTTCCTCTCGCTTGGGTGGAGTTTTGGAGAACTGTAAATGTATGTTCTCTCTTCCCTTATTAACAAGAAGTGAATAAATTATAAAGGACAAATTTGAGAAAACACCGCTTTCCTAGTTAATAATAAAAGCAGACTTTTCTCTTTATTGTACAAGATTGAAATCTTAATCGGCTGAGAAAGACATGACAGCTGACTCTCCCACAAAAGAACCAGGGGGAAGCTGGTGGTACTCACTGAGCATCAGAGTTGCAGAGCTGTAAGAGACTTGCAGGTTTTGTGGAGCAGGAGTTTTCACACTTTGTTAGTGGTGGTACGCATTTTTAAAAAATGACAGTTTACTTTCCCCTCATGATATAACACAGAAAAATGTTATGATTTTCCTCCCAAGCACTAAAATATTTCCTGTATAAAACCCCTGAGCCCTTTCCAAGAACTCTGGAATCTTCCAGAGCAGAGATGGAAAACCCTTGCTTTAGTAGTCCTATTTTACAAGGTCTTAGCCGAAACAGTATATACAACCATCGCTCCGGTGTAAATAATTTGAGAAGGTTAAAAACCAACAATAATGTTAATTAAAGTTTATTGAGCACTCTCTATGTTTGGGGCACTATGTCATGGGTTTATATACAGTATCTCATTTAATTCTCACAATGATGCTATGAGGAGAGCATAGTGATTATTGCCATTTTGTAAGTGAAGAAACTGAAGCCTGGAAAGGCTAATTACTTGTTTAGGGACACACAGCTAGGAAGTGGAAGAGCTGGGACTCAAACCCAGGTCTGTCTGACTCAAAGCCCATTCATTTAATACAGGCCCCTGGGCATGGTCTGGTGGGCTTTGGCCCCTGGAGCACCTGGAACCATCCCTGGGGGTGGTGTACACTGAGGGCCACCTCCCATTTGTGACACAAAATATGACAATAGACTAGGTTACCACAAAAAAGCAATGCTTGTCTCTAATCCTCAGGACACGCCAGCTCCCTCATACCTCTCCCTGCGCTACATCAGACTCCTACTCTCCTCCACAGGTCAAAGCAAAGGTGAGGGCCCTCCACCTCCGCGCAACGCACGCCTTCATCAACTCTGGTGGTGGGAAGAGAGGCCCTTCTCACCTGTGTGTTCCTCCAGGTGCATGCTGCCGGACTCTGAGGACACCGGCTCCTGTCCACCACTCGGCTGCCACACCCAACACACTGCCTGCACACCTCCACCGCCCACCCCCGGCAGTGTCCCGACCTGAGCGACGCAAGCCTTATTCACAGAGGCTCTCACAACTGCTACCCAGAAGCCGGTCAACCCGCGACCGCCCTGGACCAGTCCGTGCCCTCTCATCTGGGGACAAGTTGTTCTTACCATTAGCAGCCTCTGTGCCTCAACACTGGGTAAAGAGCAAAATGATTTAGTCTTCACTCTCTCATTTTTTGCTGAGAAGGGAAGACCTCAGACACCAGCGCGGGGCAGGGCCAGTGGAAAGTGAACAGTGGCGCCCTCTCCAGGAGATGGCAGTGTTGAGACACATATCAGATAGGGCCAGGCCCACAGCTCTCGGCTTTGGATCTGCTTTAATTAAAAACCAACTAAACCCGAGGTGTTCCTCATTCAGTGAACAGCTAAAGTGTCAGAAATATGTAGGGAGATTCTGGGTGACGGAGAAAGCCCTCTTTCCACGTGTAGCCTGGCTAGAGTACTCAAGGGGATTTGTGAATGATCTCTCAGAGAGATATGTCAATTAAGCTTTTACTAATAAGCCTTTCTTCTCTTTTGCTTCCTCTCCCCTTTTCCCTTCCTTTCATTCCTCCTTTTGGACTTAGAAGATGGCAAAAAGAGTAAAAGGCCATCAAAAACTATGGTAAAATTCCATTCAAAATTTTTTTAGGTGTGAAATGTATACCTGTATTTTGAGTCTCTATTTTCTTGGTCCTAATGAGTTCTTTGCCTTTGGCAGTTTATTTTTCAAGCAGGTGAATCCCAGGTCCACTGGGTGGAGGAAAATGAAATCTGAGACGGGTAGGAGTCATGGAGTAGGGGCTTGCTTTGTCCACCGCAGGCATGGACCTAGTTTTGCAGACTAGCAGGCCCCAAGGAACCACGACTCCTTAGAATTAGACTTAGGAAGGTGGACAGCAGAAACGTGGGGCATTAAATTTTATTTACGGTAACATCGAGAGCAAAGAAGAACCCTAATCTTCTTTTCGGTTTCTTGATTTTAGAGCCTCGCAGCCACCGACCAAGAAGAGAAAGTGCCACAGGCTCTGGAGGACCCCGGGGACTGTCCAACCTGTGCCCGGGACTCTGGACCAAGTGAGCCGACGTGGGGCCTGTCACTGCCCGTTCAGTCAGGGCATTTTGTTTTGTTTTGGTTTGGTTTGGTTTTTAAACCAGGCCTGGAGCAGCCCTACAAAATTATTTTCTCCCTCATAGAAGGGCAATGATAGACTCTGGGAGTTCATTTCTTCCCACTTGTCATAATGTTTCATGCAGTCTTAGGTGGGGCCTTGCAGGGGCTCCCGGGTAAGAGATGCCATCCTCTCTCCCCTGGGGATGAACACCCGTCCTTTCCACTTCAACAGCAACGTGCCTCAGAGGACCCAGACTCCAGGCCGGGGGAAGATGCACAACCACAGCAGCTTCAGGGGCCTGCTGGTGTGCTCAGCGCTTTGTTTGGTGCCACCCTTCTTCACTGCGGTGTGCAGACGGATAACGTGGGGCAGGTAAAGTGTAGATTCCGATTAAGTAAGCCTGGGATGGGGCCTGAGATCCTGTCTTCCTCACAAGCTCCCAGGGGGTGGGCGCTGTACCGGAAGAACTCAGAGAAGCAAGACTGTGGAGGATTTCTACAGTCTGCCTCTAGCGGAGCAGGGAGGAAGAGAGTTGAGCTTCCCTAGCACTCACTTCAAATTAGTAGATTCCCAGTTGATCTTTGAAATTTTATAACATCATTTTAAAAGTGTTTTTAGCAGAACCAACTGATGTCCAAATGGTTGGCCTGCCTCTTTCTTTATCTCATATAACATGTGACACGTTATGTTTTGAGCTTAGAGACCTGATCCAAAGTTGAGAAAAATTGAGGTTTTTGAGTCTGAAGCCTTGAACTTCAGAATTTTCAGAGTAAATGCTATGGCACATACTTGGGAAAGGGATAATATTACATGCCAATTTTATTAGCCACTGTAGATAATCAAATGTAGGCCGTGTGAATAGTGCCCCAAATTCAGGGTAGCAAGTCACATCTCTTATTCCCATGCATCAGCTTGGCAAGAAGTCCAAGATTTCCCTCCTGGAGCTCCCTCTCCCACTGTTGTCCTCAAACTCCAGAGATTTATCCTGCCCTGAAAGGAGATGCGCATGGCCTTCTCACCGGCTTATGTTGCTGCCTTTGCCTTTCACAGCTACATAAGAGCTGATCCTTCAGGGATGTCTGGCCTCAGCCCCAGCATGGGCTCTAAGGGTCCTGCAGTAGATGATGGCTTCGCCTTCTCAGCTGAGTCCTCCACTCTGCCATCTCCTGGCAGTGCCGTGGCAGAACTGTGCTGGACATCCAGCCTTGTATAAACCAAGCCTCTTACTGTCTTCTTTTCTTTTGTGTGAGATCTACCGTACCCAGCAGTTGCTTGATTTTAATTGTTCAACCCTAGAAACACAAAATGCAAAATAAAGGCCCCTTTCCAAATAATATAGCACTCCCCACCCATCTTCCTATGAAAGGTGACTCTAATTTCTTCAGGGATCCTTGCATTCAATCTGCAGCTTCAACATGGTTCTCAAGCACGAAAGGATGAGTAAATTCCTAGCAGATGAGAGGACCATCTGTTCACTCTTCCACAGATACACCAGCTCACTGAGGGTACCGGGCAAGTCACCCAAACCTTCCAAGAGTTTCCTCATGTAACCAGAGTGCTACTCAAATCGTCCTGGTCACTTCAGAGCTAAGGTCCACCCTGCACTGCTTTTCTGCTGCCTGTCCCTGGAAAGGGCACTGATTTTGCACCATCGCCAGAGAACAGCCATGGAAGACTAGCTGAAATGTCCCAACACATAGGAGGCCTCAAATCCCTTGTTGAATACCTACTCAAAGGTCATTAAAGCTGGCCAAAGATATTTGGCTCCAGACAGAATAATAATGGTCAGATGAGCAAAAAATAATGGGGGAAAAAGAGGCAAAACTCAGTTAATCTAAGTGTCATGTTTTTTACAGCAGAAGTTTTCTAGTAGAGAGCTCAGATTCGATGTTGTAGAAGCCCAGGGACTTTACGAAGGTTCTGAAGCACATGGGTAGAGGAGGGAAGAGGTTATGCTAGTCTCATAGGCAGGATTTTTTGATGGGAGTTGATTTTCATTTTTTTTTATCCTCGTCTAAGGACATGTTTATTGATTTTAGAAGGGGGGAGGGAGGGAGAGGAGGGTAGAGAGAGGAAGGGAGAGAAAGAGAAACATTGATCAGTTTCCTCCTGTATGCACCCCGATCAGGACTGAATCAGCAACCCAGGCATGTGCCCTGACCAGGAATCGAACTTGTGACCTTTTGGTTTATGAGACGATGCCCAACTAACTAAGTCATCTGGCCAAGGTGGGAGGTGATGTTCTAAATCAATCAATGAGGCATTTTGGTTGACCTTGTTTCAAGCAGTTCACTTTCAGCAAGTGTTCTAAGATCTCCATTTAGAGGGCTCACAATGTAGAATTATTGGGTTGCTGTGACCAGATGTAAAATCTTGCTCTGAGAGGAAGCAGCTGGTGACTCCTATTAGCTGATTCCAACCTCACATGGTCTGGATTCAAAATATGAGAGGGTTCCTGGTCCCACCTAATCTGAACCCCAGATATAAAAGGGTTCACGGCTTCATATGGCTTGCTCCTCAACTATAAAAGGGTTTGTTAGCTCCAGAGTTGTGACCTTTGGCCCCCGGTGAGAAGTTCAGGGACTGAATTCACACTGTAGAATCGGAAGGATCTGACTCATCTCCCCAGCAACTTGGAACTTTCAAAGCCTCATTTTTCTTGATTATCAAATCAGAATCATAAGTTCTACTTCACTCATTTCCAAGATTTTTAAAAAAGGAATGCATAAGAAAATATTTTGAAAGACATTCAAACTCAAGCTATGAGTTTTTTCCAGAAGGTTGGGACTTGGACCATCAGCTGCCTTCACATTCCTGCTTCTCTCTTCTGTAACATTTTCTCAAGAAATCCTCTGTGTTTCATGAAGAGAAGAAAAAAGTTTGAATCCCGTCCCTTCCACTGAACAGCTGTGACACTAAGCAGGTTATGTCAGATCTCTGAACCCATTTCCACACTGATTGAATGGAGTACCCACTTTCTAAATCTGTTTGGCTACATCTGCTAAAGCATAGCCTCTGACCCAGGGATTCCACTCCTGGGAATAGACCTGACAGAAAGTTGCACATGTGCTCACTAAAACACACGCCCAAAGACATTCATGGCAGCATTACTCATAAAAACCACAAACCTTTTGAAAGTAGCTTGAATGACCATCAAGGGCAGGATAAGTTGTGGTGTATTCACGCAATGGAGTACTACACAGCACTGAAAATGAGCAAATAACTGCCATTTGCAACAATAATAAGTGAACCTCATAAAGATAATGTTGGGCAAAAGAAACCAACCCTTAAGAGTACCTATCATAGTATTCCGCCTCTACGAACTTCTCTACAGTGCTAGATTTCAGAATAGTGATTATTCTGGGGCAGAAGGAAGCAGCGATGAGAGGAGGGCAGGGGGTCTCTTCTAGAGCACTGGACTCTCCCGTTTCTTGATGGTGGTTGTTACCTGCATTGTTCTTACCACCTGCACCTGAACTTATGAAGAACTACTACTTCCCTTTCACTCCTTATGTCAGGCATGAGTATTGCTGAAGGAGTACTGGTATAATTCATTTTATTAAAAAGTATCAAAGTATGTACCAATGATCAGTGTGCCTTCATTGTGTATATGACATGTCAGTGAAGAAAGTCTATTAAAAAAGAAATCTTAACCTTGAAGATAAGTTAATGAGTTGATTAGAAACTGTCAAATGTCTAGGACAGTGCCTGTAGTTCAGAAAACACACAGGAATCATAGATATTATTATTAGTAATAATGAGTCCCTGAATAGGCTCCGGCTTGTGCCAGGAATTTGGGTGTGAGCTTGTGGTCCCAGATTCCCATCCCTGGGGTTCTCTAGCTGATGGCCTGCTCCCAGTGAAGCCACAACTGTGTCAGTCCTGTCGGAGTGGCTGCCTCGACACCCTTGCTGCTATGATGAGAAAGGGTGGGAAATGCCATTATCCCTGAGGACAATGGCCCCGCCCACTACCCACCCTCCCAACCTGCACCTGGAGGAGCAGAGCTGGCCTTTGGCTGCCCCCCACCCCTACCAGCACCTTGCCCTTGCCACTGTGCTTGAGTAGCTGCAATTCCCTCACATCAGACAGCATTACCACAGAGGCCAAGGACAAAGTATTTGCCAAGGCTTCCTGGGAATAACCGAGTCACTGAGCTGAAACAAGAAGTGTAATAATGACACTATTGTTTAAACCCTTTTGGTGACGAACACCATGCTAAGCACTCACAGACATTACTCACTGAATCCCTTTAACAATCCTGGGAGGCATCATGTGGTTACACCCACTTTGCAGATGAAGAGACCGAAGCCCAGAGTCCTCAAACCATGTCCCTAAGACTGTATAGCCATTAAGTGTGAAGTTGGGACAGCAACTCACTTCCAACCTTGGAGCTCTTGAACTGCCTTCATCCTCTCTTCAATGGAGGAGAAAGGAAAGAAAAATGGAAGAACTAGTTTCTCACTTTCTCTGAATTTGGTATAAGCAGGAGAACGATAGAAAGATTTATTGTTTTGAAAACACTTAAGGCCAGGTATCTTTTGGACGGCTGAGGGCACAGAGTTCCTTGCATTGCCAACCTCCTTACTTATAGGTGGAAAAAAGTTTCTCAGGATTTTGAGACATTGTTTCCAAATCCATATTTATAAAAACAAACAAACAAAAATAGATGTGTGGTGGTATCACATGAAAATAAATGTGACCAAGGAAAACACATTTTATGTGGCATTTAGGATCAAAAGCAATCTGAAGCAGCTCTGTTATTTACTTTAGGAAGTCCTCAATGAAAGTACGGAGAAGGTTAGATGAGTGAGCGCAAACCCAGCCACACCCCCTGCATTTCCCAGGCTGTGGGCTAAGGAGCTCTGTAGGAGCTAATGTCATCTTTCTGCGTTGTTCTCGCCTCCTGCATCTGAACGCATGAACAGCCACCACTTCCCCTTCACTCCTCCCGTCAGGCATGAGCACTGCTGGGGGCGTTGAAGGAAAAGGAAACAACAACGAACAGCCCAGTCAAATTCACATAAAAACTTTCTGCGGTTGAATTGTACAGTTTGGAGGCCTACTCAAATTAAGACAGTGTGAAGGACTATGCAAAAATGGTAGCTTGCACGTGTGAAACTGCTGTTACTTGGCCCTTTTTTATATGCAAAAGTAGCAATTGCACATAGTTAACACTACACTTTAATGGGATGGATTCTGTCACCGTGTCCTGGTATCAGATTCTGAAAGTGCTGTCACTGTCACTCTCTCTGCCTGTGCAATGTTGCAAGTTGGGCAGGACACCTGTTTTAATTTCTCGTTTGCAGTTGAGGGAAATTAGACGCTAAGTGAATAAATAACTGGTCTAAGTTCAAAAAGCTAGTTGGACCAGAGAACATTGGTGCCACTAGGAACCTGTAACAAACTAGAGTGTATTGATTTCAGTGAACAAAAACAAGGAAACGAAAGACAAAAACCATAACCTTAAACTGCCTTAAGCGAAAAATAGCATAAAGTAAAATGAAATGAAATAAAATAAAATAGAAAAAAAAAGAAACAAAAACAAAACCAGAGGATTTATTGGCTTCCCTGATGCTGGAGTTGAGGACTGGATCTCGGAACCCAAATCATGCCGTCAAGCCTGGGCGCCCTTCATTCTCAGTTGCTTCCTGCTGCATTGCCTTCTTCCCAGACAGGCTTTCCCTGAGGATCCACAATCCTGGGGATGTGTCTCACAGGTTCAGAACTCATAGAAAAGACTCAGCATCTTTGAACCCTCATTCCTAGTAGTGCTGAGATCCACTCTGCTTGGATTGGATTAGGCCAGGTATGTACGTGATGCAATGATTGGTGCAAATAGTGAATGCTGTACTTGGACTGACCAAGCCTGGCCGGGTCCCCTACCCTCCTCAGGCTGAACATGGCCATCACTGGAACCACACAGAATGGACGTGAGGGGATGCTATGAAGTAGGGAAGATAGATGCTGAGGGCAACGTTTCCTTGGAGATCACTGACCCCAAGATGCTCTTTCTATAGATGAGGAAACAAGGCCGGCCACATGCCTCCTGCCTCCCAACGCTTGTCACTTCAAACACAGTCGCTCTGCTTTCTACATGGCCTATTCATTAGCTCCACACAGCTGCCTCCGAATCTAGGAAAAGCAGCCTTGGGGGAAAGATCTAACACACCTATTTCTTTGTAGTGATGAGCAGGAGTCACAGCAGCGAAATGCAAGACCATGACAGTGAGGGGCTGCTGACCAGGGCTCTCTGGCTCTGAAGTAGCAGCCATACCAAAGTGTTCTTTGGCATAGTTTATTGAATGGTCATTATGAAAAACTGTAAGTGGCCTTGGGAAGCCCTTGTGATGGGCTGGAGAGTGAGGGGGGAAAGGTAGTGCTAACTCTCAAGACTGAACCCAAGATATGGGGCTTTGCGGCCACCCCTGATCTAATGGGATGGGCCAATGAGATGTGTAGCTTACTCTTTATGTTTTGCACTCTACCTGATGAATGGCTGGGACATGGGTTTCTGGCTGTCAGGAATCCAGACTTGTAATTCTTACTTGTTATAATTTACCCACTAAACAATGGAAAGGGAGGGAGTTTTTCTCAGATCACGTGCTCAGTTAAAGCTAAAATCTTGAAAAATAGAGATTTCTCAAATTACCAATATTTAATCCTGCAGTTAATTTAAAATTCTGGAGAATACATTTTTGGTGCCACAATGAATTTTTAGCTGGTGACACCTTCCTCCTTCAGCATCTATGCTGCCTGCCAGTCAGTATTGTCAAGTTCACTTTGAATGTGCCCTGCAGTAATCACAGCCAGTGCTGCCTTTGTATTCAGAGACTGGTTCAAACCATACAGAATATCCTTAAACTGGAAGAGTTTCATTCTATTCTTATGTTATAGTTTCAAGAAGCCAATGTGGATAATCTTTAAGACTTTTCTTTATTCCTTAGGATATAATTTACCCATCTAAGTCTTCTAGAATTTTTATTGATTGTAAGTGCCTTCCTGAAACACTAGGAAATGTTAGTGGTTAAAGAATAATATTTTCAAGTAATAAGAACAGTATGAAACTGGCCTACAGACTTGAGGGTCTTCATGGTATTTTCCAAATTTAAATATAACTTCTTTAAGAGCAAAACTATGTCTAGGACTTTTATGTAAGGTGAACTGGAAGGAAATCTTTTCCTTAAAACCAAATCTAAGCAGGTAAACAGACTTGGAAGTTGGTGTGTTTAACAGGAGGCAGAAAAAAGCAAATTGCTAATTGTATTATTGAGATGTCTTTGCCACTGTGAGGAAGAGCCCATAGGTCTTGGTTTTGAGTCTTAGCCTTCACGTGATCTTTAGGGCAGGGTCCCACACCCTGCCTTAAACACAAGGACTGAGGTATGAAACTGTCACACACATGCACAGTATTTTACTTAACACCATTTATGCTTCCTGGTCTCTGTGCATCTGAGTTAATCAAGCATTTGAGGTACCTGTGTTCTCACTTCTTACTTGAATAGATTATTTTCTAAAGTTTATGGAATAGCCAATCTATGCTGGACTAATCTAGAAAAAAGGAGAACACAAACAGTATCAACTCAAAGGTGTAGAGGAAGGTGCATTTTGAAGCCATAATTCACTTTTCTTAAGTGTGAATGGAGGCAATATTCATCTGGATTAGAACTCAGGCCCTCTTGATTTCACTACTAAGAAAGAAAGTCATTTGTGTCTTCTTAGATTTTTATGTCTAAATTGTTACCCTCCTCAAAAGTCAGTCAATTAGTCTGCTTACCTGAATATATTTCTGCAATAGTGAAGTCACATTATGAGCCTTAAAGACTTTGAAGTCATTAAGGTCCCTGAAAATGGCTACAAGAAAAAAAATAATAAAGTGTTACAAAAATATTGTTTTCCTCAATTACATAATTCACATTAGGGGACTGAAAATTTATCAGATCTCTTTTTTTCCTGAGTGATTTTTCAAGCCTGTGTTAAAAAGGGTTTTTTAAAAAGCCAGTTTAATTGACTTTATAATTGACTTTTGATATAAAAAACGGAATTGCTAGTCTTAGGTAAGCAGATTTCTTTAACCAGAGATTGGTGTTCAAGGTTCAGATTAGTCTTCAGCGTAATTGTTGCTGGTTGACTCAGTTTCTGTCACAGCTGCTTTTAAATTTCAGGCTAATGCTCATATCTGAGCTGTCAACCTTACCTGCTTTCTTCCAAGTTTTTGACAGTGAAACATGAAAGATCACAAAAAGATAGTTCCTTTTTTTCTCAAGCAAGACAGTTCTTATTACCCTCCGTAGTAAAATCTATACAGTTCAATCTGTCTAGCCATTAGATGAGCAAATTAACAAATCGGATCTAGAAACCTGAGTCAATATAAAGTTCCCAAATGGCACAAGACACGCGGTCTTTATCAAATTCTTCATTCAATGGATTTTCTCGTTGCTGCCGGCAAGCACTGCGGTTGTGGGGCATTTGACTGATCAGCCACTTGAAGGTAATCAATGACCCCGTGACTTGATTCACTGTGAAGGTACTTTACTTGCAAAGAACGCAGACATGACTTACCCAAGAGACCCATTGATATTTCCTGTCTCTGGAATTAGAGGACAACTTAGAAACTCTGTGTTGTTCATTATGATGGCAGGCTTCCAAACTGAGATCCCAAGATGCAAAAATTCACAGCGTAGTGGGAGCGGAGAGCTATCACGGCAGGAAGTGCTGCCCTCTTCCACCTGTGCTCCTGGGAGGGTGCTTCTCTCCCGGGGAAAAACCCAGAGTTAGAAGCCCCAATAAACTAAAAATCATGATCCATATCAACATGTTTGAAAAAAACTCACCAAAGGAGTTTTCAACTTTTATGTTCTCTTCTCACCTTGAAAATGTCTCCCATTTAACATTTTTATTTTTATTAATGTTTAAAAGTATTTACACATATAAAATGTTTAATTAACTAAGCATTTAATTAAACATGTAAGCTTCTATTGAAAATGATTTGATTAAAACAAGTAAAGCAAGAGGCTGATTTTTTTTAGCCATGCCACTACCATTGCATTCCCTCCTGCAGAAATAACCAGCCAGGAGGTTGGCGGTGCTGTTCAGCCTGGGTGAGTGAAAAGGACCTGACTTCTATCTGGAGGAGACAAATTCTCAGTCAGTAGAATGGCTGACTTTGGTTGATCCGGGGTAAAGCTGTCCCTGGTATTTTGACCTGTCTACTTTACTCATGTGATCACCAGTAGGAGGGATATTCATTCGTCTGAGTAACTATTCAAGTATGGTATTGCTGATAAAAGGTAGAGACTTCTTTTTTTTTTTTTTTAAAGAAGCACAGAGATAAATATTTCACAAGTCTGAGTAGTGCAGGGACTTCCCAACTTCTGGCCTATGTCTTCCTGCTGTATGGTGGAGTCAGGTGGAGTCAGGTTACTGGAGGAGGGCAGAAACACAAGGGGAACAGGTGGCCGAGGAAACAGTGCCTGCGTTTGGTGAGAACTATGCACCTTCCTGGGGCCACGACAAAAAGCTGCGAGGGAGCCAGCTGTGTTTTGAAAATATTGTATTCATTTTCTCAGTAAAAATGCACAAAACTGATGGATTAAATATAGCAAAAGGAACTCACTGCACTATATTTTCTCGAAGTGTTTATACAATTAATATGGTTAATGAAAGAAAATGTGTAGAAAATATTTGTGAAACTGGTTTCTAGATTCCTCTTTCCATAGACCCAATGTAGGCTTCTGAGTTGTTGCAGACAAAGGATTCAATTTTTCACTGGCAGACGAGGCTTCTGTTTGCCAAAAGAAGAACCATTTCCAGATAACCATTTGTATCCAAGTTTGGGGAAGTGCAAAATTTGTCAAAACCCAAATGGGCCTACAGCCAATAGAAATGTTTTACTTGAAAGCTTTCAGGGTTAAGGTAAGTTTTTTATTTATTTAGTCCCATTTAATTCAGCCAACATTTATGAAGTGTTTCAGTGGTCTGTTGCTGAGTAACAAACTATCTCAAAACTCAGTAACATAAAATGCTAACAATCATTTATTTGGGTCACAAATCTGCTACTTGGTTAGGGCTTTGCTCTGATTGTTCATCTCTGTTCAGGAGTCATCAGCTGGGGCAGCTCCAATTTGCTGAATCCAATTTGCAAGAAGGCTCATTTACATGCCTGTCTGGCGCATGCAGCCGTCAGCCAGGGGGTCAAAGGGGCTGGAAGGCCAGGGCTCTTCCCCATGCTGCCTCTCCATGGGACCTAAGAATAGGTCCCATGTGCTTCCACACAGCATGGAGTTTGGGTTCTAAGAATAAGTGTTCCAGGACAGAGGGAGCAGAAGCTGCTAATTTCTTTTCAAAAAGATTTTATTTATTTATTTTCAGATAGAAGGGAAGGAAGGGAGAAAGAGAGGGAGAAAAACACCATTGTGAGAGAGAAACATCAATCAGTTGCCTCTTGTATGTGCCCAGACTAGGGACCAAACCCACAATCCAGGCGTGGGCCCTGACCAGGAATCCAACCGTGACCTTTCCCTTTGCAGAGTGACCCCCAGCCAACTGAGCCACACCGGTCAGGGCAGAAGCTGCTAATTTCTTAAACCTGGGCTCAAACTGGCAAAATACCACATCAAACTGCACTTTTGCAGTTTTCAGTGAATAAATCTTGCACTTCTTTTACTAAATATGGTCTTAATTGTTTTATACTTTTTGATGCTGGTTCATTTTCATATGGAGTAGATTCAAAGTTTTCACCAAATTCTCAAAGAGGTCCCTGACTTAAAAAAAAGTGAACAAACCACTAATCCAGTCAACGTCCCCTCTTTTCCAGTTTAACAGAGAGGGTAGACTGAGGCTTAGAATGTTACAGAATTCATCCAAGATAATAGATGATAGAGCTGGGCAGGATGAGTTGTGATTGGCCAATGAGTATCTAATAAATTATTACCTCAGATCTTGTACCTTAGGGGGAGTGGCTATTGTCCACATATTTTATTCTGATCATTAATCTGGGCTTAGCTTCCCAAAATGGGGCTGGACTGCTGGGCACATCAGCTGCTCTTCCTTCAGACTGAGCTTTCACACTAAACCAAACCAAACCAAACCAAACCAAACGGAGCACAATAAAAGCAAGTACAAACAAGCAAAACCAAATACCCACATTTTCCTGATTTTTGGAAGTAATAATTCTACTGTAAAAATGTTGAAACATAATAGAAAAATATTAAAGAGAAAAAAATAATTCATATTTGGGATCCACCATTTGGTAGCTTATTTTTCCTTAATTTTCTGTTATTAAAATTGATCTCATATTGTTAATATAGTGTAAAAAAATAACACAATATGATAGTAAAGACTCTATCAAACTATTGTTTACAAAGATGACACAGATTTCTATAGTATAGAGGTACTCTATAATTTCCTATATCATTGTTTGTTTTATTTCCAATTTTTCTTGTTAGTAAAACTGCAGTAAACATCTATATACATCCACTTTTTCGTGAAGATAAATTCCAGCAGAATTTACATATTGAAAGAATGAACATTATTAATCTCTTAATGTAGTTTGCCCAGTGGCTTTTCAGAAGAATTTTCACCGTGTGAAGGGACACCCACAGCCACAGATGATAGGGTAGGTCGCACCCTGTCATTGCCGATGATCACTAATGACAAGGAGAGTTCGTAGCAAGTACTGAGTAAACACTATTTCCTGTACTTTTTTATTACCATTGCATTTTCTTATTAGAGCATAAGCTCTGCAAGAGCATGGATTTCTGTCAATTTGGTCAACTTCTCATCTCTATTGCCGTGAGCAATGCCTGGTGTAGAGCAGGTGCTCAACAAGTATCTATGAATAAATGAATGCATGAACACAGGAATGCATGCCTTCTTTGAGCTATGTTGCTCCTGTGTTTTGCAACTGATGTTTCTACTGGCCCATTCTGTACTCACTGTTTCCCTGGGATACTCTGTGGCCTTGTGTTTTCACTGTGTAGCTTTACAGGTATTTGTTTCTTTTCTCACCAATAGCATACTGCTCTAAGGTCGGAGCCATTGCTTTACATGTCTTTTCAGTGACTTGCCCCTCCGGCCCAGTGCCTAGATTAATACCTTGGAAAACCTTTAAAGTACTTGAACATTATTTACTAATGGACATTTTTATTAATAAATTAGTTTATTAAATTTTTTCTTTATGTTGTTTTACACAGGTGGAAGCCACCAATCAAGTAATTGCTATTGAACAATCCTAAGCAGATAGAAGGAAAAAGATTTTCAATCCTGTGGAGTAAGAACTTCTTTTCTGAATTCTTTTGTAAGTGTTTTGGGAAGAAAACCTATTGCCCAGTTTATTTTGCTTATTTGAAATGAATCTTTCTGTAAAAACTAAATAATAATATATAAATTTATGAACATATGCTGTCCACAAAAATAAAGTAGGTAAAATGCATCAAACTAGTTACAAAAAAATTTCTTATAAAAAGCTCCATCTTAGCCCTGGCTGGCATAGCTCAGTGGATTGAGCGCAGGCTGCAAACCAAAGTTTGATTCCCAGTCAGGGCACATGCCTGGTTTGCAGGCCACGGCCCCAAGCAACCGCACATTGATGTTTCTCTCTCTCTTTCTCCCTCCCTTCCCTCTTTGAAAATAAATAAATAAAATCTTTTTTTAAAAAGCTCCATTTTTAAGTCATTTTTATTTTTATAATTATTTACTATTTGCTAACAGTCTTGGTTCCTTGAGATAGATTATGGTTAGATCTTTTAATTTTTCATTTAAGTTGGCACAATGCTGATAAAATTAAATTTAAGGCCCTGGATCCATCCTGTGCTTACAGTTTATTTTTTCTCTTCTAAAGCTATATTGATAGATTGCTTAATGGGTTCCAAAATAGAAAGCATATAGGATTGGGATTATCCAAAGTAATATGGTGGTCCAAAGAGAGTCCTCTGTAGAATCACTTTGGAGTGGGATTTGCTTTTCAACAACTGATTTGGCTGGGATACCATTGAGATGTTTAATGTTTTGACCCTGAGTCAGTCCCATTTGGGCTGGGAGGAAGATGGCCCCTTAGCTGGGACCAGGCAGGAGCTCAGCCTGATGCTCAAGCAGGAGCCTCGTGTACCAGCACAGCTCTCAACCTGCCTGGTGCATCCGGCTCTCCCTTGGTGGGGAAGGCTGTGTGTGGTCGTCCTTGGGAACAAGCAGCCTCCCACAGCCAGGCCAGGAGAGGGCAAATACATGAAGGAGGTGTGAAGGAATTCATGAGAAACCTAGAGAAATTGCTTCAGTGAGGAAGTGAGTGCCGCAGAAGCAGAAGCACAAATAAAATACGTCTTTTCTCCTCGTTGTGGAGGTGAAAGAGTCCATCAAGAGCACACAGCCCTTATGAGTCAGAAGGTCTGGGCCTGAGCTCCTGCGGGATGCGCGTTTCCACTCAAGGGTTATTCCGTGGACTTTCCTGGCCCCCATTCCTGGCCTCGCTATGGATGGTTTATTAAAAGTCAGTCACTGGAATAAACTGTCCTCTGCAGTGTGACAGGAACTGGGGACTGAACACGCTTGAGAATCTCAGATGGGCTACATATGCTCAAAGACTCTATGTGCTTTTACAGTCTTTTGGTATTTCTGCTGTTTGTTTTAGAATTGACTTACTGGCCAACCACATCCCCAAAGTAACATTGGGCCGACTACGCTTCCGTTGAAACCACAGCAAATAACATGAGAAAGGAAGGGAAACCAAATCCTGACCAGAGGTACCAGCGTCACTGTGTCCACCAGGGGGTGGCCGGTGCTTTGTACGACCAGGGAGTGCCCTCCACAGGCCTCTCTGCTCCTCTAGGCCCTACTAGCCTGCAAACCGGGCCTCCCTCAGCTGTGTCCCTTCCTTCCCTGATTCAGCTTATTGACATATCTCACTTACCCTTAGACACCTTTCTCCTTCCATCCTCACCCCTGCAATGCCTGCTCTGCTGCCCAGCCCCGAACCCACTCGCCTTGGTTGCCTCCATGATTCTCTGGAGTCACCATGCGTTTATGTCTCATTGGCATCCAAGGGCTGAGGAAGGGCGACTGCGGTTCTCAAACCCGTGTGCTGCTCACTAATAGGGTGCCCTGAACCCTGCAGCTCTGCTATATAGCCTTTTTGGATTAAAAAAGAAGATAAATTTGCATGAATAATTTAGACCTGCAGTTCCCATAGTGTGGTTCCAGGACTTTCAGAGATAGTATAACCTGAACAGTTATTAGAAAAACAAGTTCTCAGGCCTCACCAAAGACCTACTGAATCAAACACGCTGGCAGTGAGGCCCAGCAGTTCGTATTTTCACAAGCCCTTGAGGCGACGCTGATGCATAACATGTTCGAGAACCACTGGTTTTGGAGTTGGACGGAATTGAGTGTGAATAGGTGATACTGCCATTTACTAGCTGGGTGACCTTGAGCACACAACTTAACCTCTCTGAGATTCATTTTCCTCTTCTGTACAATGGGGACAATAACCATATTCTACTCCAATAGGGTCCTTTGGGGATCTAAATGAAATGATGTAGTTAAACTGCTAGCCCAATTCCTGACACACTAGCACTTGGTAGGTGGTAGCCAACACTAATAACAACAACAACAACAATTCTTACTATTACTGATTTACTTTAGATACAGAGGAGAACTCATTCTCTAGGGATATGAGAATTTGTAGAGTGTTACAGAGGGACTTGGTGGTATTTTTTCATGCAGTTATTAATGCAAAAGCTGCTCTGATAGGGGTAATTTTTATTTTGACTTTCAAGAAGTGGTCAGATCTTAAAAATTTCTCAGTGGTGGTACATATGAAGAAGCGATTGAAATAACTGATGAAAATTGCCATTGGGAGCGATTGGAGGGGAGGGGCCAGGCCTTTGACTAAAGTCATGACTGGGGGGTGTGCAAGGTACAGGGTACGCGGCCAAGAACAGTTTAGGGTGGGAAGGGTCCAGGGTGGCTGAACAAACCCTACTGAGTCCCCCTCCACTGAGGCCTGGGACATGGGGCTTGGGTGACTGTGGACAAGGGGACTCTAAGGTGGCTTCCCACTGTGCACGTGTTTGTGAGCTATGCTGTGTTGAGGGCCCAGGAACACAGCCCGTACAGATGGGCTGAGCCAGGGCTGCCAGCGGGATGACTCCCCAATGAAGGCCATGCAGCTCAGATACCTCAAACCGGGCAAAGGGAGGACCCGGACCAACAGCGAGTGAATCAAATGCTCTCTCTTTCCACAGGAGGGGCAACTTAAAGCAGAGGAGTAAAATATTTAAACATGCAATCTTTATTTTTTTTTAAGATTTTATTTATTTTTAGAGAGGAAAGGGAAGGAGAAAGAGAGAGAGAGAGAGAAACATCAATGTGCGGTTGCTGGGGATCATGGCCTGCAACTCAGGCATGTACCTTGACTGGGAATCGAACCTGTGACACTTTGGTTTGCAGCCCCCACTCAATCCACTGAGCTACGCCAGCCAGGGCTAAACATGCAATCTTTAAATGAGTAAACTCATCTGTGTAAATTCAGGATTGATAAACCGCGGGTGGCATTTGATCGCACAGATTATGTCTCTGTTCCCTGATGTGCCGCTATTGGTCTAGTGTTTTTGAATTAGAAACTTCAGGTCGGTGGTTGGACTGCATGCTGCTCACCAAGGCCAGTTCTATCTGTTGTCTGCCCACATCTCCAAAGGGATCGTTGTAAGGGTGAGCTCCTTTCCTTGCCTTCTCTGGATCCCACATGCTTTTCTTGAGGATGGTAATAGCAGATACTATTATTTTCATTTTTACACAGTGGTTCTCAACCAGGAAAACTTCTGTCCCCCAGGGGTCATTTGGTAATGTCTGCAAATACTTTTGGGTGTCACAGGTAGGGGTGCTGTCACCTAACGTGTAAAGGCCGGGGACACTGCTCCGCCCCTTACAGAGCACAGGACAACCCCCACAACACAGGACCATCCTCCTGAAAGCTCACAGTGCTGCAGTTGGGAAACCCTGGTTTTTACACTGTATTTCAGGCACTGAGGTAAATTCTCTATATATGACATCATTTTATATGGTTTTACATTTGGATCACATTCTTTATACCCCAGAGGAAGGGAGGGGCAAGCGGGTAGGAGACTTATCTGTGATCACACAGCTTGTAACTGATGGAACCCAGGTACAACCCAGTTCCATCGGACCCCAAAGCCCACAGGACAGAGAAAGTGGCAGGAAGGCCCTCCATGCCCTAAGGTGGTGGGTGACCCCAGGGACATCTGGACCCCTGCCTAGCACATGGTCATGGTTCATCACATTTTGCTGAATGACTGATTGGTCACAGCTGTGGACAGAATCTTGGCAGCCACGAGAACATAAAGCTGTTGGCAGCTGCAGCTGCAGCTGCGTGAGGCCAGGCTGGCCACTGCTGGGAATGCCCCGGGGTGTGAGGGGACAGGTAAGCACAGGCTGGGTAGCCCTGGGAGGGTGTGGTTGTCATGGCTGTTCGAAGTGACACAGGGAGGATGTGAGGACTTCAATAAGCATTCACTGTGCATGACAACACAGGAGGCTGTTAACCTTAGGTCTGGGGATGAGATCTGTCTGTTGGGGGAAGTGAGTCCTTCTGGCTTGCCTTGAACTATCCTGAAACAAAGGGCCCTCTGTAGTTCTTGTAGTCAATTAAAAATAATCAGCCACCTCTTAGTGGAAATCCTTAAACTGGGGTTCAGAGTTTTAATGGAGGTGAAGTAATGATGGAAATGTGGTGGAACCCCAATGTGTTCAGAAGTCCTGGGTGAGAACCAGGCTCTGGGCCTGCCAGCGTGCACACCTGAGGCTGCGTTTTGTGAGGCCTGATCTAACCTGTGGCAGGTGAGGCTCTCTCCCCTGGTCCTGAGCCAAGGACAGAGCTTCCCGTCCCTCCCTCAGCAGGGTTCAGGGTAGTCTGGGACACCTCACCCCATGTAATCTGGGATTGCTTTGATGCAGTAATGAATCTGATTTGAAATAAAGTCTAGAAACCTAGGTCATTTATCATTTCTGGTTTCTCATAGGAAGGAATAAACTGAGAGGTACCAGAGTCCTGTACAGCTCACATTTGCATCAGGCTGTCTGCTAGTCACCTGCATACTTTGAATAATTTACTTGGTGTTGAGGTTCCTCCATTTCCTGCTGGCAGCTCCAGCAAAGCTATCTTCTGGCTGCTGCGCAGGTTCACACAGCAGCCATCCGAGACCGACCCCTCTGTCTGACGTGCTGTGACCCAAACTCTGTTCATCAGCATCTCCTCATATCCAAAACATGCAACAGTCTAACTCATGATGATGACTTTGAGAAGCTGAAAAACTTCTACAATTTATATTCAGTATGAATACTAAAAAAGAGAAATATTTACTCAGTATAAATTGGGTGTCACGTCATTCAGTGAATTTTTATTTTTAAGAAATGATTGCATTAAAAAACAGGAAAGAAATGATTACACTCCAGATTTGATGCTTTCTCCTAGCCATAATTTTTGTTTAAAGACAATGCCCTATTATACAAGTGTGCTGGGTAACATATGGGTTATCCTAACAAAAATGAGAACAATTATAGTGGTAGATAACACAAAACCTTCCCCCAACACTAGAAATATCTTATTGACTTTATTTCATTCTAACTCAAAATGCAGAAGTGAAAAATGAATGCAGACTTTTGAATCTATTTGTTTAATGTTTAAGCCAACTAAGAAAAAAACAATTTCAGAAATGGTTATACTGTTTGCATCAATGAGTTTTAGAAATGTCCGCAGAGCACATTTCCTACCACTGAGGTTCTAGAAAGCTCCATGCTGGTATATGTGTCATGCGTTGGGCAGGAGGCAGATCAGCCTACGTTCTACAAAAATGCGGATGTGCCCTCTTAGGCCATGGTCTGGCTCTGTTAGTCTGAGCTCCAGAATGAAGGAAAAAAACTTTGGCAATCAAAGATCTACAAAGCTGTACACTAAATGAACTACAAATCGCATTTATCAAATTCAGATTCCTTTTGAGGCCTAAGAATCATCCCTCCCAATAGCAGAGATCCACATAAGGTGACTGCATGAAGTCTGGAATAGATGGGGGCCAGGCCTCCAGCAGGGGTTCAGGAACCAAGCTCGTCAGCATTCTCTTTGCAGAGAAAATCGTGAGCAGGACCCAGTAACTGTTCTCCTGGGCTGTCAGTCAAATCAGCTTTAGAAATATATTATGGCCCCATAGTGTAAATTGACCAATTTAATGGAAATTAAGCTTTGCTCCCAAGAACAGATGTATTTCCCAGATGCATGTTTTGAGAACATTCCCCAGTGGAGTTCCTTCAGACTCTCCTTGTTAATGACTAGGCTTTCCTTCAGCTCCACATTTCTTCTAAAACACATCATTAAACCTGGTTCACTGCTGTGCCGCAAACTGGAGGAGTGATTGCTTCCGTCTGTCTTTTCTTTTTTTAAGTATATTTTATTGATTATGCTATTACAGTTGTCCCAATTCCGCCCCCACCCCTTGTCCACTTCTGCCCAGTACACCCCCCTTCCCTCCAGCATTCCCCTTCCCCTTAGTTCATGTTCATGGGTCACACATATAAGTTCTTTGGCTTCTCCATTTCCTATCCTATTCTTAACCTTCCCCTGTCTATTATGTACCTACCTATTATCCTTCTTATTCCCTGTGCCTTTTCCCCCATTCTCCCCCTTCCTCTTCTCAGCTGACAACTCTCCAAATGATCTCCATATCTATGATTCTTTTCCTGTTCTGGTCGTTTGCTTAGTTATTTTTTGCCTTGCTTGTTTGTTTTGTTTTGTTTTTAGATTCATTTGTTGATAGTTGTGAATTTGTTGTCATTTTATTATTCATAGTTTTGACTTTCTTCTTTTTCTAAAGTTCCTTTAATATTTCATGTAATAATGGCTTGGTGGTGATGAACTCCTTTAGCTTTACCTTATCTGGGAAGCCCTTTATCTGCCCTTCTATTCTAAATAAAAGCTTTGCTGGACGGAGTAATCTAGGTTGTAGGTCTTTGTTTTTCATCACTTTGAATACTTCTTGCCAGCAAAGTTTCTTTTGAGAAATCAGCTGACAGTCTTATGGGAACTCCTTTGTAGGTAATGCTGTTTTTCTCTTTTTGCTTTTAAGATTCTCTTTTTATTTTTAACCTTTGGTATCTTATTATTATTTGACTTGGTCTGATCCCCTTTGGGTCCTACTTGTTTGGGACTCTCTGTGCTTCTTGGACATGTATGTGTATTTCCTTTGCCAAAATTAGGGAAGTTTTCTTTTATTATTTTTTCAAATAAGTTTTCAACTTCTTGCTCTTCCTCTTCTCCTTCTGAAAGCCCTATGATTCAGATATTGGCACATTTGGAGATGTCCCGGAGACTTCTTTTATGATCCTTATTTTTCTGAATCTTGTTTTTTTTGTCTGCTCTGGTTTAATGCTTATTTCTTCCTTATGTTCCAAATCATTGATCTGAATCCCAACTTCCTTCCCTTCCCTGTTGGTTCCCTGTGCATTTTTCTTTGTTTTACTCAATGTAGCCTTCATTTCTTCCCTTGTGCTTTTGCCATACTCAATGAGTTCTCTGAGCATCCTGATCACCAGTGTTTTGAACTCTGCATCTGATAGGTTGGCTATCTCCATTTTGTTTAGTTCTTTTTCTGGGGTTTTGTTCTGTTCTTTCATTTGGGCCATATGCCTTCTTTGTCTCCTCAATTTCACAGCCTCCCTGTATTTGTTTCTGTGTATTGGGTAGAACTGCTTTGACTCTCTTAGTGCACCTGTTAAGTTGTATGGGGCAGAGCCATAGGTATTTGCCAGGGCAGGGCAACCTGCTTCACCACTTTGTGGTTTGGTTTGGGGGAGGGTTTGGAGAGGGGGCAATGCTGCTGCCTGGCTTCTGGGGATTTACCTGGCACTCACCACATTTCCAGTCACTTCACCCACTTCTCATATGTGGCTGTTGCTCTTCCAGCTGTTGCCCTGGTGATGAATCCCAGTATGGGTGTGTTTGCGTGTGTTCTAAGTCCATGTAGGCCTTTTAAGCAGAGTCTCTTGAAAAACTAGCAGTTTCTTCTGCCACCCCAGCTCCCACTGGTTTTTAGAGCCAGAAGTCTTGGGGATTTATCTCCCAAAACTGGAACCCTGGGCTGTGTGGTCTGGCCTGGGTCTGGGATTGCTCACTCCCGAAGTATCCCTCCTGATTTTTATCCACCACATGTGAATGTGGGACCACCTTTTCTGCCACGGCCACCACCTCTCTGCACCACAGTGTCTCTTCACCGCTCCACCCTGACTCCGCATCTTCTCTCCTCCTCCCCTTCTGGATGAATGTGGCTTCTTTAAATCCTTGGTTGTCAGACTTCCATACAATTCGATTTTCTGACAGTTCTGGGTGTTATTTGTTTTGAGGTGTAGTTGTAGTTATTCTTGTGGTTGCTTGAGGAGGTGAAGCATGTCTACCTACACCTATATCTTGACCAGAAGCCCTTCTGTCTGTCTTTCAAAGATGGGCCAGACACCTGGGTTGTAGCCCCACAGTTTTAGATTCAGTAGGTTGGAGATGCCCAAGAATGTGTATTTTTCACAAGCTTCTAGGGGATGCTACCTGCTGGCCTGCAGACCACATTTTGAGTAACATGAGCAGAGACCATTTTGAGACCTATTACCCACAGGTCTCAAAATTGATTTCTTACAAGTTTCCTTCTTCAGCTCAAGCTCTCTTATTATGCTCTTTAGGTATTATTGCTTTAGAAACCCAAACAAGGGTAAAGCAGAGAAATTCCAGTTTTTCCTTCCAAACTTAGAGCAAGCTTCAAACTACTATTAATTACTGTTTCCTATTCCAAGCACCTGCAGGGGGCACCATTTTCATTCTACTCTTTGTGTGTGGGATATTTTTCCCTCCCTTCCCCCACCCCCACCACAATTATGCAGCTCTGCAGGTGTGTGGCTGAGGACAACAGATTAATCAGTTATAGGTTGGACACTGGTTGCTATGCACAGCAGAGTATATTGAGAATAAATTTGAGACTATCTTCAGTTTTCCAGTGCTTATATGTACATGGTTTCAGTGTATTCCCACAACCCTGTAAGACAGGTAAAGAAGACATTATTATCTTTATTCTTCAGAGGAGAAAACTGATATGGAAGGGTTGACTGCCCCAAGGTCACACAGCCAGTTTGTGTCATAACATAAACTAAAATGTTCAGGTCTTTCCTCAATGTATAAGGCTGTGGAATAAATAATAACAGTAATTTAGAAACTTAAATTTATTTTGATATTTGATATTAATCATCTACTGTTGGGCTGAATGTGAATCCAACTTCATAATTCCAGAGGTTTTCTGTGATTTCTTTGTAGTTTGCCGCCATATGTTAAGATTCTGGATACCAGAGAAGGAAAACAAGTTCACAGATTTTATAATTACATTTCCATTAGGGATAAGGACCCTCCTTAGGGCTATATATTTAAAACATGTAAGTCTCTGGCCCTCACTAAAATGATTTGAACATATTTTAGGGATTTGAATTCTCATGCAATGAAAGCCAAGCAAGATTGTTGTAATAGTTCCAAAAAATTAAATCTACTTACATCTGCTGTTCCAGTAACAGTTACCAACATGATGATAATTATCCCAAAGCTCATTAAGAAAAAAAAAATTCATCACTGTCCTATTTTGTTTGCTTGAAGTGGCTGGCTCATTATGTTCTGAGTAGAGCAAAATACATCAACATTTTATACGGCATACCTTTGGATTTAGTTGATTGCTTGCTATAAAAGGATTTGAGTCAAAGCCAATTTGCCATTCACAGCCAAGGGGTCTCTAGGGATTTTGCAGAAAAGCTCTTTGTTCAAGTGAACTCTCACAATACAACGTTCCTCGTTGTTACTTTATATTCCTCCACGCCTTTGTCTATCAAGTGTCAGTGGCTGAGTTTTCCAGGAAGCCCAGGGGTTGGACATTGAAGACACCCACAAATTCTTTAACTGAACCCAGACTGAGAAGTACACCTTGTGATTTCTTTTAATTACTATCTTTAAGTTGCAAACACATGCATATGGTAAAAAACATTCAAACCATACTGAGAGTGTACAGTGAAGAGTAAATCTCCCTCCCACCCCAGCCACTGTGTCCCTCAGTCCCTGTCCTTGGGGGAACCGCAGTCATGGGTTCCTTGCATGTACTTAGAGCTAATCTGGGCACATTCAGATGCCGAGTTCGAGATGTCTCCTGTGTCCTGTCAGAAAGGTAAAAACTGAAGACTTTGTATTTGTGCTGACTTTTTAGATGATCAGGGTCCCTACTGTTTTGTCTGAATTTCTGACAACCTGCCTCAAACACACAAAAATCAGATTTATAAGGGTAGGTCATAATTTTAAAAACAAATTAATTTTGCTAGGAAGATTTTGATGGATTTGAAAAAGATGTTTGGAAATGTATTTAGCAGCTACAGGGAACAGGGAAGGCAGGACAGTGGAAAATATTTCAATAGGAATTTTATTTAAGAGTAAAACCTCCAGAACTTTGTCTGGTCTAAAGTTTCACTTGGCTCTTCTCTGAAGACCACATTTGACCAGGCCTCCTTGTAGGCAACAGAACAAAAAGGTAAACTTAGTATCATTTAATAATCAAAAGAAGTATAATTCTAGCTCCAGAACTTATTAGCTTTGTGGCCTTGGGCAATATGTTTATCCTTTCAGAGTCTCAGTATCAATAAAATGAGGGTAATAGTGTATACCTCATAGGATTGAGGTGTGGATTTGCACACAAAATGCAGCTGTTATTATTCTTCAATATCATCTGTGCTTAGGGAAGAGCTGAACTCTATGAAATATATCTGCATTGTCATTTGTTAGTCAATTGTGTATGAAATCATAAATATGAAAGTGTTTGAAACTATAAAAAGGCTACCTAAATGGAAGGTATTTTTATTTATCTGAGCGTTAATAAACTTCTAATGTTTTCTGATGTAATGTTCTGGTTTTAAAACCATTATGATCCCTGAAAAGACAGTCCCTGTGAGTTTCTCCGTCTTTCTCCCTGTACAACTGACGCATCACCGGTTCCAGGTGCACACAATAGGGACTGGATGTTCCCGAACGTGGCGAACTAAGCTCCTGCTCGTGGGGCCACAGTCTGAGCTGTGGGGCCACAGAATCCCACATAGGATTCTCAGATGAAAGACTTTGATGCATGGTTTCCCTTTGCTGTGAGGACTAAAATGATCATCTGTTCCTACCACTGTAACTTTAATTGTAATATGTTTATGTATTTTTTCCAGGCCTCTAACCCTGGGCAATTTGAAAATGACAGTGATGCATTAAGGCAGCGAGGACAAGTTCCAGAATCTGTTGTCTGTCATGGTCGAGTGGGAATAAACACAGATGCCCTGGAGGAGGCCCTGGTCGTCTGTGGCAACATGAAAGTGATGGGGATAATTATGCAGCCCTCTGACAGCCGGGCAAAGCAGAATATCCAGGAGGTGAGCACAGGGCAGGCTTGGACCCCTCGTCTGACACCTGAGTCAGGTGCATGGGCACTCCTGGCCTCTGACACACCTCGCCTGGGGCATTTCTGCCTGCTCAGCGACTGTGAGTGTTGCAGCCATTACCACCTCTGCTGGGCTGGCAAGCGGTTCCCACTGGAGAGAACAACTCACCTGACAGGAGCACTGGGTGATGACAGCACTGTGTGGGCTTCGCCAGCAGCCACTCTCTGGGGTATTTTCCACAGGCCGCTGTCCTTCCCTCCATGCATTGTCAACTGCTGGAGGTCGCCTTTTCCTTTTCATCTCCAAGTTTCCATTTCCCCATTCATCTTCCAAACACTGTCTCAGCCCAGTTCTGCGAACACTCCCCTGGAGCCCTCCAGCTGCTCCCTCCCAGAGTCCAGGCCCCGGCCCTGCCAGCCACGGTCCACCCCACTCATCATCTTCCTCGGAAGAGCATTGGAGAAGCTCCTCCTGCTTGTGCCCCCTCGGTCAGTCCCACCACCCACGGTGGAAATCAGAAACCAGTCCCAGAAGTCAGGAGGCTGCTCGTCCACTTGGGCCTCTCCTGAGCAGCGTGAGCCTGGACAAAATGCTTGGCCTCCCTGAAACTCAGTGTCTTCATCTATGAGGTGGAAATGGAAATTCTCTGCCTGACCCCACTGAGCCCTTTATACTTTTCCAGCTATGGAGATAAGTACTGAATCGTCTGGGAAAGTCACAACAGCTATGAAGACCTAAGGGATTAGATTAAGATGCTAGGTTACCCCTTGGGCCCAGTTCTTCCACCATTTAATTCTGTTTTCCCCTCACTGCCACGCCCCCACCTTCTCACTCACACTGCCTCTCCTGGGAGCATTGTTGAGCATGTAGCAGAACAGTGTCTTTAAGCCTCTTGTCCGTATTCTTTTTTAGTTAATAGGAGACAATCTGTAAATCACTGGCCATTCTTCCAGACTGCATTCCTTTTGCTGTGTAAATCTGCACTGGGTTTTCCAAACCAGCCAAGGAATGTCCTCTTTTGCTGAGAGGATTCCAGAGAATGGCTGTAATTGTAGAGTTTCATGCTGATTGTGAAGCTGCGGTTCATGTTAGAAGAGCTGTGACCTGCCAGCCGGATGGGAACTCTTAGGGCTAGAAAGTTCTCACACACACTTTCAGATCCCTGTCCCAGATACCATGCCTTCGCATTGCAAAGACAGAGAAACCGTCTGTATTTCAGTCACACCACCTTCAGCTCATCCTTGCGATTGGCTGCACAGATCCCGACCAGGTCTTATCTAAATGTAAATGCAAGATGACAAGTGGGGACAGTCCTCCACAACCCCTCCTGCTACCACCAGCCTGTCAGCAGAACTTTACGCACCTAACATCTTCAAATGGTGTTCCTTGGTTTGACAAAGTCTTAAAATAGCAAACTTCCCCAGAGCCTCTGAAATCCCTTCTAGGAAGTGGTCTCCATAAAGTGAAATGCCATTCCAATCCAGGCTCCAAACGTGGAATTCCTGGGTCCCCTTCCTGCTCATAGCAGCAGCACAGTGGGACAGAGAGGAGCCCAGGCTCTGCTGGAAAACTGGAGTTTTAATCTTTGGCACCCACCAAACCAGGAGATCTGGCCCAGAGACATTCTATGCTCTGTTCACTCTTCTGTGAAGAGGGAATGCTTACATTCATTTCACCCATGGGCTTTTTCTGACTATGTGAAGCAATTTGTAGCTGTATAGGGCTAAGCAAATAGGTATTATTATTTACTTGTAAAAGATGCAAATTACCATATTTTGCCATGTATAATATGCACTTTTGCCCAAATTTTTGAGGGGAAAGTAAGTATGTGTGCATTATATATGGGTGGTACTAATCCCATATCTATATACACATTTTTAATTCTTTGATTTATGCTTATGTATTAAAAGTATAACCCTAGAAAGCAATAATGATATCTGTATGCAAAATAATACCCTGGAATATAATAATCAGTTTTATTTCAAAATATAAATAAATAAAAGATGGAATTAAAAAATTGAAAGATTTTTTTCTGAAAGTTTGGACCAAAAACATGGATGCACATTATACACGGAGCACATTGTACATGGCAAAATATGGTATATGGAATTCATTTATTTCATCATTTCATATTAACATATTCATTCTTCATAGATCTATCCACATTTATAAAATATGTTTCTAGAAATTTTGTCCTATTGGCCATTTATTACAGATAAGAGAGAGGATGGTGGTGTTGACGACGGTGCTGACAGATGTGTGGACTTCATCGTCACCTCTCCCTTAGGTTCTCCAACTTATAAAAACAGAGCCATTCTTCCAAATGTGCTGAGGAGGGATCCTCGGCTGATCTGATCACGTGCACAGCCCTGGAGGCATGCATCCCTCATTCTTTTTTGTTTGTTTTATTTTTGTTTTTCCAAAAGCACTGTTTTAATTTTTATAGAGTCCTGACCACTTCAGTGGCAGGAGTGGGAGAGGTTCCTTTTTCATTACAGAGTCCAGGGGCCCCCATAATGTTGGTCTGTTGTCACCAAACACAGACAAGTGGCGTCGAGGGTTTGGTGAACCCACTACAATGCCCAGTCTCTCTCTCTCTGCTGGCACAACAAGTTGAGCGTCAACCTCTGCTTCCTAAGAATCCTGAATTCAGGATTTTCAACGGTAACTGCTCCACCTTCTATTTATGAAGGTTTGAAATCAGTTGACAGGACAGTAGACAGGCATATCATTGCAGTTTCCACTGTCTGTTCCAATGTCCAATCAAATTTCTTCACTGTTTTTCAAGACAGCTGGTTGACCGGTTTGTTTTACTCCCACTGCAGTGGCTTTAAATCCGCCGTCATAACCTGCGGTATCTCACTTGTACACCCAAGGGCCTTGCTCTCATCTCTACCAATTCAGATCATACAGCGACTGAGAGGCCTCATGTCAGCATCCTGTGTGTAGACCTGAGAAATACCAGCAATTCTTTTACACAGCATGTCCATAGGAGTCTCATAGCCATGCTGTATTTCCAATTAGCTGCCTCATAGCAGGCCCTCTGTACCTGGGATCTGTTGTCAGCTGTCATTCCTGTCACCACACAGCCAGTGTTTTCAGTTATCTTGAATAAGTGAGTCACTGTGCTAGAATCCCGTGTGACAACTACTGCACACTCTTTCCCTCTGACAGCTGATGGAAGGCCACTCTGGTTAATAGCCTTAAAGGCACATTCTACTTGGTAGAGCTGGACTTCAGGTGAAAAAATGATGATGTGGTGGTCACAACCAAGGCTGGAACCAGGGGATATGTTGGTACACCCTCTACTTCAAGAACAGTATCTGGGCCTCGTAGCTCCCGCACCAGGCATAGCAGCCCCTCCAGAAGTTGCAGCGACACCTGTATCCTTCATTCTTTAAGGTTGCACAGTGGCCAGAGCTGGCTCCTGCATGAGTTGTTGCAAAACATAGTGGCCAAACATGTCACCGAATACTGTGACAGGGAACATGAATACAGGTTGCTGCCTTGCCGTGGCTCCACGTCTCCTCACTCAAGGCAATGTAGGTTGCTTTACAGATGGTAAGCACATGAGCACTGCATAGAGAGTCCTGGTGGAGATCACTGGTGCTCATCTGGAGGCATAGCCAAGATGCCAGGAAGATGAAGCAGGTACGATGGAAACCTGTGGAACTGAAACACTGGGGAAACGAGGTCAGCCTGAGAGGAGCGGCTTGACTCACCCAGCAAGTGTCATTGCGCTTACTGGTGTGGCTGCAGACTGGAGGAGGGAATGCAGCTCTTACCATGGAAACTGAACAAAATTAGGGCAGAAAGGGAACGCTGAAAACCAGAGGGGTACAATGAGCATCAATGTCGATGCAAAAAAAAAAAGTTGAAAGTTGAAGGCAGTGAAGGCTGGAAACAGGCAGCAAAACACACAAAAAATAAAAGCTGGAAAAAAATCAATTAAGATGAAATGCTGAAATATTTTTTTCTCTCAACCACACCAGCAGTGAGCTAGTCAAAGACAAAAGTGTGAAGAGCTGGAAAAAGTCAAATATGCAGTCTGCCCTCAGGGCCACAAGCCAGATGCAGAAGTTCCTTAGCTCGAGGTGAACCAGCTCTGACCGTGCTGGCTGTGGGCCAGAGCCAGATGACGTGCAATGAAAGCTCTTTCCCCGAACTAACTGGACTCCACAGACTGGAATGTCTTCTCTGTGGTACAATTCCTCTTTTTTTTTAAATGTCTATTTATTGATTTTAGAGGGAGAGAGGAAGGCGGGGAGAGAGAGAGGGACATTCGTTGGTTGGTTCTTGTATGTGCCCTGACTGGAAATCGAACCTGCAGCCTTGACGCTGGATGACACTCTAACCAAACGAGCTGCCTGGCCAGGGCCTGTGGTGCAGTTCTTGGGTTAAGGATACGAAGCCTTGGGCATGAAGCAGCATGACAGCAAAGGCCATTTGCATTTATGGTTAAAACTTTCCAAAACTGCTGTGGGCAAGATCAAATCAGACACTATAATTTTAGTTTCTAGCTTCTTGCTCAACACACATGAGGAGCAAGGCGTGGCGTTAAGTGCAGGTCTGTGAATGGTTCCTGGAGGAGGGTCCCGCCGCGGCGCAGCCCTCGCCCCAAGGGTTTTCTCTAGGCCAAGTGCACACCTAGGGAACATGCAACACAGGTGGTTTATATTTAGCTTTGGAAAGCCTACAAGTCAGACATCAGGAGAGCATTTTTCTTACAGAAACATTATTATAGGTCTTCAGATCCCCAAGCCAACCCTCAAATTTTTCTTGGGGCAAAAATCTGTCTGAAATACAATGGTAACATTACCAGAGAACTTAATTGCTATGTTTAGCAATGTGTCTTTGGGAAAAATGCATTCAAGGATCCAACTTAGACACCAGGGGTCATTTTCCCTCTATGTAGCCTGGACAGCCTGAATGAGGACCCATCCTTCTCTGCTTTTCATCTGCAGCAAAGAAACTGACACTGCCTCATCTTTGGACTCCACTGGGGGCTCATGCAGGAGCCATGGGGATAATGAAAATTAGGCAAGGCAGCGCGGGACTCCCAAAGGTATGGGAGTGGGGGACTGGGTAGGGCCTGGCCAGCATGGCCAGGAGGCCAGTCCAGGCTAGCTCCTGATCGATTCCCTGTCTTCCATTCTGTTAGTGTCAGGGATTGTTCTACCATTTCACCACCTCCATGCTTTTACTCCTTCTTTTCTGCCATGAAGTTCTGGGTGCCTGTTGTATCAGGCACTTTGCTGGGCACTGTGCAGTTCCTGAAATAAACAAGACACAGGCCTTACCCTAAGGAATAGAACTTTTATTAAAATTTGAACCCCAGATGAGAAACAGTCATCTCCAGTGCCTGAAACAGCATCTGACACATAGTAACTACTGACTAAATATTTGTTGAATGAATGAAGGAGCTCATAGTCATGTGAGATGGTGACCATTCTTTCCCAGCATGGCCCTCCCTGCTCTGAATTTGTCTTAATTAATTAACTTTTTAAAAGATCTTATTTATTTATTTTTTGAGAAAAGGGAAGGGAGGGAGAGAGAGAGGGAGAGAAATATCAATGTGTGCTTGCCTCTCACATGGCTCCTACTGGGGACCTGGCCTGCAACCCAGGCATACACCCTGACTGGGAATCGAACCAGCAACACTTTGAGCAACCCGTGCTCAATCCAGTGAACTACAACATCAAGGGCTGACCTTGTCTTTATAGTGTAGTAATGTCAAATTCTGCAGACGTCACTCAGGGGATTTGCTGCCTTGGGACTTGGCTCATGGTGTTCTTCCTGCCCAGCATCCCTGTCTTAGTCTCGCCCTTCCCAGCCCTCCCCATATCTTTCCACGAATAACTCCTATCTTAAAGTTATTAACTTATTTAACAAATATTAGTTGAGCTCCCATTACTTGGGAGGAACTGTCCTAGAAACTGGTAATTCAGTGAGGAACAGAAAACCACAGCTTCGTATGTCCCGCCCTCAGGAGTATAGCCTATCAAAAAGAAGGAAAACAAGGTGACACGGCCAGCTGTCTGCTGACCACGTGATTAGTGTTGTGAAGGCAGGAACAGGCGCCATGAGCACATAAGTAGAGGGACCCTTCCTAGTCTTGGAAGTTAAGACCTGCTTCTCTGGTGAAGGGATGTTTAAATTGGGGGAGGGGAAGGGGCGGTGGGAAGGGATTACTTTTGAGGCAGAGGAAGTGGCATGAACAAAGGCGGTAAAGTGGAAGGAGCAGAACATGTTGGAGAACTGAAGTATGCCAAGATCTGGGCGGGGCTCCACCATCTGGAGGAAGCCCTCCTCCTTTTTGCTCCCGAGAATATTTTAGATGCTTGCTTGGAGCAGCCACGATTCTCTCTTCCTAATTCCATCATCACCCTGCATATCACGTTGTCATATAGTTCGTACGTGATGAGTCTGCCTTCCTGTGTAGACCACAAACATTGAAAAGGCCACCACTCTTTAAATTTTATTTTTCAATTACAGTTTACATTTGATATTAGTTTGTATTAGTTCCAGGTGAAAAGGCAATCATTTCTGAAGTCCCAGCACTTGGTGTGGTGTGAGGTGTGTTGAAGGCGATTGGTAAACGTCAGTCATATAAAACAATGAGTTCATGCCTTGAACCAAGCTTTTGATAAGAGCAGGTATTAAAATGACAATGAACCCCAAATGATACTGCCTGAAAAATACCTGAAGTAAAGCTTGTCCATTTAGTCAGTTAAATTCCAAGCCACGACCTTTCACAATCAGCCAAACTAGGGAAGGGCAAGAGCCCATAATGATGCTGGAGGAGCTTTCCTGCTCGCCTGACAGAGTGGGTCCAGAGTTGTTGAGGGTCACGGCAGGGATTTTCTTAAAACAGCAGCAGCAGCAGCAGCAGTGACAAGGCATTTCGGTTGCTCTCACATGTAGAGGAATGTCCAGGCAGTGTAATATTAACAGCCACTGGTTTCATAACCGTTATGTTCTAAAAGAAAATTTAGGGGACTCACACAGGGCTGCCAACTTTTTACTTGAATAAGGTCATTTAAACAAAATCAGTCTTGTTATACCATAAATTGGCTTTTTAAAACCTCTCAAAAGGGAAGGCTTTGAATCAAACACATTTAGCTTTAGGAAAAACTTACTGTATTGGTCTTGGTTGGTATCATTTTGCTGGGACCCAGTGGACTTTTTCTGAGGAATTTGCAGTGACAATCGGGAACGCCTTGAACAACCTGCCAGAGCGGCGAGCTCAGGAAGCTCAGTCACTGACAGGGCGGTCTGGGAGAGGCCGCCCCCACAAGGGGCAAGTCTGGGTCTTGAGGGTCCAGCGGGTGGGCAATCTGGACTTGCAGTCTGCCATGGGAAGACATTTGCTGTGGCAAAATGGTCAAATGCAATTCAATGATATAGGGTATGCCTATACCTCAAAGCCAGTTACTTGAACTAAACATTGCATTTTCAACTTCTAGAAACAAGACTGACCTGCATTTGTTTGGTCTTTATACTGTGTGTTCACGTGGAAACGACACTTCTCAATCCTTCAGCAACTGTTTTTCTCCCCAGTGAGCAACCTCAGTTCTCAGAAGGAGGGTTCACCTCTCAGAGGAGGGAAAGAAGGCAAGACCAGTAACCGAGGGAGTTTCTGTCTGGGAATTTAGACATAGAAACTGGCTCAGTGGGTAGATGGCACTAACATGAAAGCTGAAACTTTGGCTTCTCTAAGAAGCCAAAACATAATTTCCCTTAAAATAGTTTGAGCAACAGGGAAAGACAATCCCATTTTCAACGTGTCTAATCTCTCTGGGCCACTGTGGGCATTGGTTTGAATTGCAAATATCTAAGTGGGTGAAATCTGCTCTTCTTTAATTCAATTAGGTTGACACAAATGAACAGCTGAGAAGAATAGCCCAAATGAGGGTCATTGAATGTGACCACAAACCTGAGTTCGTGTCTGCGATGGGCATAAATGCTGCCCATCAAACAGGTACACATACACGTTCCCTACTTAATTTTGTACTGTCACCTATTAAAACTTTAAGTCTGAATTCTTTACCTGGAGGTTGTGTGCTATGGCACTGGACAACATTCTGTTGGTCTCACTAGTCCTCTGTGAAACCCATGATCACTAGAGCAGGAAGGCTTAAAGAAATGACTGCCATTTCCCTCAACACTCCATCCCCATTCCTGCATCCCAAGGTACTGGTGGAGTTCTGGGAATATATTGCTTCTTTTCACTGGAGTCTTGTTGCTCATGGGATAGGGCCGAGGGGCAGGTAGCAGCTCTCACTGTTCGAGGTACGCCTTTGGCTAGTCCGGGGATGAAGAGGGACAATGGCAGGCCTAGGCCAGATTAGGGCCAAAGTGGTGTTTATACACCAATCTGGGAATCCTAAAGAAAGGGGACCCGATTAGGGGGCAAAGTCTTCCTGCAGGAAAGGAAAAAAACCCAAGCTAATGCCCCACCCTTGTTTCTATGTACAGGAATGCTAAGGTATTTACTCTCCCCTTCCAACATTTGCACAGTCTCAAGGAAAAGTAAACGGCACTCCCACTTTAATCCCATAGTGGTTCACAGCTCAAAATTCCTTCTCTGCTTCAAATGCAGTAGATCAAAGCAAAAGCTGAAAAGGGATAAGCATCCCTTTGCAAGGACTTGCCATGTGGCCTGTAGCTGCCGTGTTCCTTTCTGATGTAGACCTGGGAGGGTTTTCCATGGAAAGGTCTTTTTCTGACCAGACCTGTGGGAGTGTTTTGTGTCTAGGAATGATTGCCCGGGACGTGTGAGAGGTCCCAGAGCCGTGAGAGAAGTGGGTGATGTCACCTGCAAAAACGGAGAGACGCTACAGAACTTCCTCATGGTCGATAAGGTAACCCCAGAATACATACCTGCCTGTAGAGCTATCACCCCGTGTGAACCCCCTTCTGTGACATCACAGTGTGCTGGGATACCCAACCAGGGAAAAGGACAGTAAGAATTCTTTGCCGAGCTGGGGAGTAAGCTGGTGTCGTTGACCCCACACTGGTTACAGGCGCCATAAAGTAGACCTAAAGGGGAAAAGAAAAAGGAATATGCACAGTAAGCATTGGAGCTCAGCGGGTCTGGTGGTCGGAGGGCACCCTTGGGAAAGTCTTTGTAGCTGGAGTGCCCTTACGACAACCACTGAACATTGTGAGAAAGAGCGACAAGAAGCTTTGATTAGACTTTGTCCTGAAAGATGGAATTAAAATGTAAGTAACTTATCTCACATAATATCATTTATATCACAGGTGGCAAACACAAGGCCCTCAGGCTGAATCTTCCATCTTGTTTTATCCGGCCCGGCACCTTGTTTCTACCAGGCAGCAGTGCTGAGCTCCTTGCCCCTAGTTAAGGAGTAAGTTACATTTATACAGTCCTAAAATTATATTTGGCCCTTTGAAGGCAACCTCGAGGCTGATGTGGCCCCCAGTGAAAATAAGTTTGGCACCCCTGGTTTACACACTCATTAAAACAATGTGCTCCTCCTCAGGTTGATGGAAGACTGAGGTGTTGCAGCCTGTCAAGGCCTGGCAGGTCCACTCCAGATTTGGGCAGACGGGAGAAAGTGCACGGAGCCGGAGGTGCTTGGCATGCCTTTATTCGTGGGTGGGCGGGCCACGCACGTGGCAAACTGCATGTCAATCTAGTGAGGAGCCCCTACCTCCTTAAGTGCTAGAGATAAACAAAGCCGGCTCAAGCCAAAAGATTACATAACATAGCACGATTCTGTGCATGCGAGCCCACTTCCTGTTATGGGAACCATTTATCTGACCCAATCTCAAGGCTCTGAGAGCACTAGTCATCAGGCCTTTTCAAGGCTAGGGGAACACTGCTTCCCTTAGTTACCCCAACACCTGGGTGGGGAAGCCAGGCTGCCTCCATTTACCCTACAACTGAAATGTTGATTTTTAAGCAGTTTTTCAACAAAATTGTATGTTTGACTTTCACAGCACAAAGTGGGTCATTTTTACAAAGATATTCATGAGCCTCATCATTTTTTCCCAAGGGCCTGTCTTCCTTCTTTGATTAAAAAAAAGTTTTTAAAGATTTTATTTATTTATTTTTAGAGAGATGAAGGGAGGGAGAAAGAGAGAGAAACATCAATGTGTGGTTGCCTCTCACGTGGCCCCACTGGGGACCTGGCCCACAACCTAGGCATGTGCCCTGACTGGGAATCGAACCTGCGATGCTTTGGTTTGCAGCCCGTGCTCAATCCACTGAGCTATGCCAGCCAAGGCCATTCTTTGATGTTTATATATTCTCTTTTGAAGGAATGTCACCACCCTCATGGATTAGCTCCTCTTTGCTCATCCAGGTGTCTCAGCTGCCATCTCCTCCCCGCCTAACAACTTCTGTGTGATTTGAGTAGTTTTCCAAAATCACACCCATTAATTCTGTGAAGTCCCACATCTTTGTGAGCTTCGCGATTTCACTCTGCTGCCGATTTGCTTTACATTGCATTCTTATATTTGATGCTGGGAGGGAAGGCTGATTGACATGGGGATTTTATAGTAATCAGAGAGATGTTTGAGCAAGACAAATTTGTAATTTGTCAATTCAGTTTCCAAGTATGTAAGAACCAGTGGGAGATCTTATTAAAATGCAGATTCTTATTCAGTGAGAACGGGGTGAGACCTAAGGCCTGCATTGCTAACTAGCCTCCTGGTGATGCCCATTTTACCAGTCCTGCTGCATTTCCACGTTAGGCCCTTCTAGCTGCAAATTCTGCAAGTTCATTGACAGCAAACACTGAGGGGATGTGGACAGCCTGCTCGGCCTGGGCTGCAAGGCCGAGTGGCAGGGGATGGGTTACTTTCTCCAGCTTCCCAGGATCGCATCTTGGATAAAAGAAATTTTTTGTCCTCTCTCTCTCACACCTGGGCTATCCCTTCACTTGAGAAATTTATTTTTGATAATAAAGTACTGAAGTTTTCAAATAATTTACTTAAATATTTTATATTTACTTAAAATATAAACTATATTCAGAGGTATTCGTATAATAAAGTCACACCCAGTCTCCCACATTTTCATAAGCTTCCTGGGTGAGAGAATAGAGGGTAGGCACAGCTGTCCGTCTCAGGATACAGCCTTCGGAGTGTGTCACTAGGCTGCTAAGGTAGGGGCTCCCCTAGAACGCTCAGGAAACAGATTTCTGTGTTTTCGTGTGGGTGACCTCTGCCCAGGGCTTTATGACTCTCGTTGTTCAGCAAAATAAGTAGTTCTCTCCCCAGCCCAGTATCTTTCCATTCCCAGATGAGTTGAATGGAGGCAGTTTGGATTATTAGCAACAGGAGTTCCAAGGGCCACACCCCACTTCCCCCAGGAGAGGCTACAATGAACTTGGGTTCATAGCCTTGCGAAGGCAAGTGCAGAGCCCTGGGAAAGTGGGCAGCCAGGCAGCCAGGTTCATTTCTCACCTGAAGAGCGAATCATGCCAAGGCATCAGTCAGTGTATAAATAAGTAAAACCAACAGGAGTCCAGTGTGGAAAAGTTGCGATTCTCTAAGTAACAGAACCTCTAGAATGATATGACCTACGGAGACATCACTAAGGCCACACTCATCTACAGAATCCGTGACACCATCTCCATACTCTCTTCTTTCTCAGGCTGTGTTCTGAGGGTGGTCTTCAGTTGTGGTTTAATCCTCAACATTGTGGAACCGCCCTCCTTTACATTCACAAAATATCACCTGTATTCTGTCTCATTAAGGACACAGGGAACGTGGCTTTTGTTGTCCTATGTTCTTTGTCAATCGTAAAATAAGCAAGAGGTACAGAGAGCCTCTTGCTTTCCTGGCTCCCACCCATTCCCCTGGGCAGCGTGGTGGTTTTAATTGCCACGTCCAGGGATGCCGGGCGTGAGGAACGGCACTAGGACTTCCTGGGCATCATGTTGTAGCAGCTGCTGGAGATCGGACAAGATAGTCTTTCTGCTCTGTGCCATTTCACCTCCATCTAATGTCTCTTTTTTTAATAAAGAAACTTTCACTGAAGCTAAAATGCAAACTAGAAGTGCACATGTCAAACTCTGTGCTGCACGATTGCTGTATCACTTCTGTGTGTACTTTGCAACTTTATACCATGATAGGTAAAGGAATGGCTGGATCTTTAAAGACTGTCCACACAACCAAGCAAGGTTGGAGATTAGTCATGTCAGTCAATGTTGGCACAAACAACTTTTCTTTATGCACCGAGACCGGGGATCAAACCTGCAACTCTTCGGCTGTAGGATGACGGTTCAAGCAAATGAACCACACTGGCCAGGGGTCTTTCTCTTCTTAAGAGGATAGGTGACCTCGCCAGATAAACTTCTCTTATCTGGAGTCCTGTGCTTCTCCTAATAGCCAGGCAGTGATGGAAGCTCAGTGATGGATGGTGGACTGGAGGGGCTCAGGGCTGACACTGGGGTCAGGGGGCCACAGGGCAGTAGGGACCATCATCTAACCCTGCATGAGGCCACTGGGGGCTCTCTGGCTTGTTCACCCATCTCTTCACCTGCAGGTTTATTTATTTGTTTCTGTGATTATAGGGGAGCAGGTGGTTACATTTCTTGAGCATTATTATTAAGTATACTTGGTATAAGAAAAATGTACACAATAAATGTAAGAACTGCCTTAAACAAATTCATAACTGAGCCTATATAAAGATGAGGTTCATCTTCTGAGTAATTATTCATTGAATAATCTGTATGCATTGTTTTAAGATTGCATGTTATAAGCCACTCTACCATAACTCAGTATGTAGCTACTTTTTACTTGTTGATTCTATTTTTCTTCAGCCATAAAGTGGCAGGACTTGTCGTTTCAGTCACACAGAGATAAATAACGCCTGGTTCCTGTGTTCAGGTACCTTACAGGTAAGACAGGCACACAAGAAACAATGCTCTATGCTGCATTGCGAGAGGTACTGTGGGTGCACAACTGAACGATCATGTCAGTGCAGAGGAAGGAGAGGGGATACCTGGACACTAGGGGTTTGAGGATGGAAAGGAAGTGGGGAGACAGAGAGACAAGTGACGTAACACCCTGCTGACCTTGTGGGCTGAAGGTGTGACTGAGGGAGGGTGGGCACCCCAGGAGGCCTCTCGAGCCTTCCTCTTCCTCACCCACAGTATCCAATTCGATGCTGAGAACTGTTGTTCTTACTCTGGCCATAGCTTTTATTCATCATCTCCCTTCTTTATCCTCTTTATTCTTTCCATTTTATCCCTCTTATAATGATCTAACTGGCCTGCCAGCTGCCAATAGAATGATCTTCCTTTAAAACAAAACAGAACAGATCCCTGACCATACAATCTCCCTTTCTCACTTGTGGCTCTTCTTTGGCTAGACTGTTGCCAGCCTCCACAATCTGGACGGAGTCTGGTCTTCCTAGCTCATTTCCTGACACTCACACACCCACCCCTCTACCTGGTACAAGCTGAGACCCTTCAGAATGTGATGTATTTGTGATGTTTGCACACACAGACACGGCTCATTTATTTGCCACTGGCCCACCAGCCTTTTTTCCTGTCTCTCATACTGGCCAGCTTGTTTCTGCCTCTGAGCTGGTTTGGTATGTGCTCTCCATCCGAAAGACCCATCAGCTATATCTCAACACCAACACCTTCCCTGACCACCTTAGCTAAATAGTCTCCACATCACAGAGCTTTGCTTTTTGTAAGCTTCAGGACCACCGTGAGGGTGTAGGGTATGCTTTTAGTAATAGACAAAGATGCTCCCTCTGGCCAGTGCAGACCCATCCACCCTTTGGGCTGCACCTCTGTGCAGAGGATACACTGCTAACTTTTGTCCCTAACTGAAATTGCCTTGTTTATTTGCCTGCTTGTTCTTTGCCAGTATCCCCAAT